ACACACACACACTCCCCATAATCATCCTTGATTCCATTTTCCTTTCCTTATCCCTTTCATCAGCAAGTCCTATCCATGTTATTTTCAAAATATCCCAAGCATGGATGGTAGCACTCTCCAGCCCTGTCTCTGCAGCCCTCATCCTGTCCTCCACCAATTCACACCTTGATACTGACACAAAAATGTCCCATTTGTACCCCAGCTTCTCCAGAGGCTTGCCCTCTAATCAGCTCTCCACACAGCAATGATCTTTTCAAAATGAAGAGTGGGTTGACTAAACGTGTGTGTGTGTGTGTGGGGGGGGGGGGTGTCCTGGAGGGAGACGGGTACACAGGGACAGAGGACAGGTAAGTAGGGGAGACGAATAGGAAAATCAACCAAAACTAAATACGAAGATGCCAGAAGGAAATCTGTCACACGTAAAGTGCATCGTGCCATCATTCCTCTGCTTAATGACCCTAGTCCTGTGATCTCTCCCACTGCTGTGGATAAACTCTGCTCGACTCTGATTTATGAACACCATGCTTTCTCTGATGGCTCCAGCTCCCTCCTGCCTCACCTTTACTTTGGTTTGGTTTATTACACCTGACTACAGTGCTTTTTCCTCCATTAAACTCAAAGCTTGCTTTTCTAGGATTTTGTGTTTCTTCTACTGGGAAGCTTTTCTACGAATACTGTTTAACTTTTCCAGGTCTTACTGGAGATGTACTCTCTGCAAGGGCCCTCCCTGAGGGAGACCAGCTCCCTCTTATTCCCCCAGGGTACTCTTGAGCAGGGAGAAATGAGGAATTTGTAGATAGAAATATAGAGGAGACAGACAGAAAATACAGGATAGCCTCAGGAGGGCCTGGGTCTCAACCCACCAGTCCCTTCTGTCGCTACGAAGGGCTTTTTAAAGGAATGCCAAGGGATGAGGCAAAAGACCTCCCCCTAGCACAGCAAGTGCAGACCATCCCAGACATCTGGGACCATGCAGGTGGTCCAGCCATCCCCTATTGTAGCCCTGCTGTGTAAAGCAAGCTCAGATCTAACTAGAAAACCTTTGTGGACTCCCACACCTCCCTCCCTGACTCTGTCCCATATCCCCCAATTTTTTTAAAGATTTATTTATTTATTATGTATACTGCACACCAGAAGACAGCATCAGATTTCATTACAGATGGCTGTGAGCCACCATGTGGGTGCTGGGAATTGAACTCAGAACGTCTGGAAGAGTAGCCAGTGCTCTTAACCACTGAGCTATCTCTCCAGCCCCTCCCCCATACCCCCAAATTTAAGCTTCTGTATACTACTTGCCTTTTTTATTCTTTCGCTGCAAGCTTCGTAAAACTTTATTTTGTTCCCCACCTTGAACAGTTTCTGCTGAGTATGTGCTCAGTAAAGAACTGTGGGATGAAGGAGCCGGGCGGTGGTGGCACACGCCTTTAATTCAAGCACTCAGGAGGCAGAGCCAGGTGGATCTCTGTAAATTCAAGGCCAGCCTGGTTTACAGAGCTAGATCCAGGACAGGCACCAAAAATACAGAGAAACCCTGTCTCGAAAAACAAAAAAAAAAAAAAACAAAAAAGAAAGAAAAAAAGAAAAGAATTGTGGGATGAAGGAATGGGCAAATTTATTCAATACTTACTAAGTAAAGTCCAAACTAGAAACACCAAATGGGCTTTCCCAGCTTAATACCCCAAAACTCTAACACATTTGGACATTGGGATCCAATTCCAGATAAACAGACAACAGGAAGGATAGTTGTAACAAAAGGGTAATGATAGAGGGTTGGAGAGATGGCTCTCAGTTAGAGCACTAACTGTTCTAGAAGTCTTGAGGTCAATTCCCACTACTCACATGGTGGCTCACGACCATCTATAATGGGATCTGATGCCCTGATGCCCTCTTCTGTCATGTAGACATGAAGACAGAGCACTCATACATAAATAATTAAAAAAAAAAAAAGGCAATGGGCTATCTCTAAGAAATCAGAGCTGAAATCATGCCAAGATTATCACTAGTCTCTTATCTCCGAGTACATCCAGCACTGGAAACAGGTTTACCGTCCAAATGTGAAGCAAGAGGGGACCCAGCCAGGCTTGGTGGCACTTGCCTTTATTCCTAGCACTCAGGAGGCAGAGGCAGTCTGGATGTCTGTGAGTTTGAGGCCAGCCTGGTCTACAGAGCAAGTTCCAGGACAGCCAAGGCTACACAGCGATATCCTGTCTCGAAGAAAAAAACAAAACAAACAAAAACCAAACATGCTTGGCTCACAAGTAGGTTCTCAGTTTCTCCTCCTCACAGCATTTTAGTAAGGAACCATTCCTATAGTTTCTATGATGCTTAGGTGGAAAAATAAAATAAAAAAAAAAAATCACACTAACTTCTATGATATGATAATGATATTTATTAAAATAATTGTTTTCAGGTTTGAACTTTATCTTACTTTCATCTCAGTTATATAACAAGAACTATATATGGACCAGAAAGTAGTAACAAAAAACCCCTCATGGTAGCACAGTGGAAGACATGGAATTCTCCAGAGTCCTGGAATATTTAAAGTGGCAGGCACCTTAGGCGATCTTAAAAAAATAATCAAATTTTCTTTTCGTAGTTTTTCCTTTTGGTTCAGAGTTACAGGAGTCTGGCTACTACCATTGTTGTAAGAGGTAGAGCATGTGCTTTCTACTAGTTGTTCCTTGTCAGCTCCTTAATAAGGCTTCCAAATCTCCATCTGCCTTTGTGATAGCCAGATTTCTATGGCCCACAAAGTGAGGCTCCTTGCTAATTACTACTTGAGATCCATGAACCGGATATCCATGATGAGAAGGAAGTTCTTAGGCAGTGGGCGGGGGGCTGGAGACAGGACAGTAAACACCTGGTGTTCCAGGTCCACACTGGTCACGACAATGAATCCAGCCACACTTGTCTCGGAGAGGTTTTCCTCTGTCCCCTCAGCAGTGCTGACACTCAGGAGATGGTGCACCATATCTCTGCCAGGGGTGACGGGCACTAACTTGAGCTGATTGTCTTCCTGAGACATGCCCAGAGGTAAACAGGAGTCTGGGATGGTGGGTGCCCCAACTTTGTAGATTTTCACATCAGAAAATTTGACATTGAAGGCATGGGGATAGAAACAGCCTCGGAATCCATAGAAGTACTCACGGATCCGCTCATCCCTACATTCCCGCCGGAAGTCCTTGGAGCGTTCCACCACACCCCCTGATTTTGGGAGCAACACAGTTCGAACAAAATGAGGCAGGTCCCTTTTCAATTCATTGTACAGTCGTTCTTGATCCAGAACCACAACCACATCCACTTCAAAGGCTGAAGCTGCATGCACCAGGGCCTGGTAACCAGAGCCCTTGACCCAGCCACAGGTGTTAATGACACAGCCACTCACAGAAGCCCTTCTATTCACTTCACACCTTTGGTTGAACACATCAGCTAAACGTGATGTAATCTGAAAAAGAATCAAAATGAGAACAAAAAATAAAATAAAATAAAATAAAAATGTGCCCATATTATTTATTTATTTATTTGTTTGTTTGTTTGTTTGTTTATATCTTATGTGCACTGATTTGGTGTTTTGCCTGCATGTATGTCTATGTGAGGGTGTCAGATCCCCTGGAATTGGAGTGACAGACAGTTGTAAGCTGTCATGTGGGTGCTTGGACCATGGGAATTAAACCCTGGTCCTCTGGAAGGGCAGCCAATGCTCTTAATCACTGAGCCATCTCTCCAGTTCCTAAATCCACCTATTTAACTTTCTCTTTAGAGTAATAGGTACTACCCTGTTTAGAGGGCTGGGAATCCAACCAAAAGCCTTGAAATGTGCTTGGCAAGTGAAATACATCCTAAGCCACACACTCCCACGCCCCCTCCCCCCCCTTTTTTTTTTTGCTTTTATGAGACAGGGTCTTAATACAAAACTCTAGCCTAAAGGCATGTGCCACCACCACCCGGCAAAATTCTGCAGTTCTAAGTAACAATATTACCTACTTCCTACCATGATTGAACTCTTCCCTCCACCCTGTCTTAGCTCCAGCTCTGACCTTATTATAAAGCTTGATGTTGGTGCCAGGAGTGGTGGAGCCGAAATGATACACAAGAGGGGCCTGGATGGAGAAACCTTCTTCCACATCTGCTGGCCGTTCAATGTAGAGAGCCCCCATGGTACCAGGGATGGACACAGAGCCCTGACCCACATCCAACTCCACATAAGTAGGACGGCGGCCCAAACGCACTGCATAGTTGAGTAGCAGTCGACACACTGTGGACTTGCCCACATCAGTAGGACCCACCACCATCACTCGGGGGCCTCTCTCTTCTTCCTTTTCTGCCTGCCTCCGCATCTGCTCCAAGGCTGTATGAGTGTTGAGGTAAAGCAACATAGGGGTGTCTTTAGAGACATAAGCCACCTCAGTCCGACCACTCAATTGCAGAGAACAGCCATGCCAAGTGAAAACAGCCACCTTGGCACCAGCATCAAAGGTAAACTTCTTGTTTCTGGTCAGCTCTGTGCCAAAGATCTCCGCCATGCCAGCCAACAACTCCAGCTGCACTGACTGAGATGCCTCCACCTCAAATCGAAGCTCTGTTTCTCGCTCCAGTTCAAATTTAGTCGTTGGCTTCTTGTCATCGTTGGATTCCTCGCTCATCTTTTCTGTACAGCTGCTGTGCCTAGAACCCACATCAAATATTAGGTCAAATGATTACATCAGGCCATCGTTCAAAATCTTCCAATAGTTTCGTCCCTTTATCTTTTTCTACACAATTCTTATTGCCTTCCAACTCACTGGGTATGTTTGCAGCCGGTCTCTCCACAATTAGAAGGTAGATGTTGGTCTTTTTTTTTTTCTTTTTTCCCTTTCGAGACAGGGTTTCTCTGTGTAGTTTTGGTGCCTGTCCTGGATCTTGCTCTGTAGACCAGGCTGGCCTCAAACTCACAGAGATCCGCCTGCCTCTGAGTACCGAGTACTGGGATTAAAGACACCGTTTGGCAGATGTCTTAAGATGGTCTTTTAATTAAAACAAAACAAAACAAACAAACAAAACCCAGTACCAGATATTGGGGTAAAAGCTGAAAGATCAGAGAAGCAGAGCAAGCCACAGCCATCCTCACCTCAACAACTCCTCAGCCAATCCTGTTTCCTCAGACTGAAAGTCTCTGAGTCCTCACCCCAACTGCCTTAGTTCCTGTTTCCTCAAACCTTATATACCTTTCTCTGCCCTACCGTCATTTTCTGGAATTAAAGGTGTGTGTGCTTCCCAGTACTGGGATTAAAAGTGTGTGCCACCACTGTCTGGCTCTGTTTCCAGTGTGGCCTTGAACTCAAGAGACCCAGACGGATCTTCGCCTTCCGAGTGATAGGATTAAGGGTCTATGCCACCACTGTCTGGCTTCTGTGTCTAATCTAGTGGCTTGCTCTGTCCTCTGATCCTTTGGCAAGCTTTATTGGGGTACACATATTATCACCACAGGTAGAGGTGTTTTTGTTTGCTACTCTGTCTCTAGCAGGTAGAATAGTAGTGTACCTCAACAGAAAACATTGAGTGGGCCGGGCACTCAGGAGGCAGAGCCAGGCGGATCTCTGTGAGTTCGAGGCCAGCCTGGGCTACCAAGTGAGTTCCAGAGAAACCCTGTCTCGAAAAACCAAAAAAAAAAAAAAAAAAAAAAAAAAAAAAAGAAAACATTGAGTGAATGAAGGATTAGGTCATAAAAACAAAACTCCCTACAGTTGTAACTAACAGGAGATTTGATGGCATTGTCTTCCCTCCAATCATTCTATTGGAAAAGAAATAACAGATGCCACTCTCCAATTCTCTTAACCAAGAAGAAACTAGAATCTGAATAATGTGAAAAGAACAAGACACAGGGTTCAGACTAAGAAAACAGTCGCATGTCCGGCTCTGGGACTCCTAGTAGCTATTATAGTCGAATCAACACCTGAACTAACTTCTCAGCTGTCATATGGTGGGAACTTACACGTCCTCACGTAACAATGCTGTTAACAGTGATCACAGTAGGAAAAGCAAAGCAAAGCAAAACAAAACACCATAAATTAGAATCCACTGAAGAAACGAAGTTACTATTTCTGATTCAGAACCGCACTTCTAGGTATTAGAATCTACTGAAGAAACGAAGTTACTATTTCTGATTCAGAACCGAACTTCTAGGTCCAGTATTTGTCGCAGTTAGCTCCGACACAGAAATCTGGCCAGGTCTCGCAGAAGTGAATTGGGGTCCTTAAGCCTTACCTGCACAACCAGAGGCCCTAAATCGGCGTAGGAGAAGCCTATGGACAGGACTGCAGCACAACCACACACAACAGATCACTTACAGACCAGCCGGAAAACAAATGCGGTTCCGCTCTTGCGCGGTGGGAGAAGGCGCAGTCGCGTAATGCCTCTTGGGATTTGTAGTTGGAGAGGGAGAGCGCGCGCCGCCGCTCGGCCCTCTGGGAGTTGTAGTTCAAGGATTGTGCCGTGACGCGCGAGGTGGGCGGGGCAGCGCCGTCACTTTGTGCGGGAAGACCGCAGGAGGCGCAGAAGAGGCGTTGTCGGTGCGCCCACGCGCGGGAGGCGGATACATGGTCCCTCCCCATCTGCTGTCCAGGAACGCTAAGGGCGACCAGAAAGGGAGAGGCCTCACTGTCTAGATCCTCTTCTCGGGTAGAACACAAGCCAGAAAGTGGGCAAGTTAGCAAAACCCAGCCTAAGCAGGAGCCCCTAAGCAGGAAGAGGGAAATAGTAGAACCTCTGCCTGTCGGTGCCTGACTTATGGAAGGAACCAAGTGTCAATTGTTTAATTTTTCTTTTCTTCTCTTTTCTTTCCTTTTCTTTTCCCTTCCTTTCCTTTTCTCTCCCTTTCTCTTTTCTTTTCTTTCCTTTTCTTTTCTTGACTAACTGTAGCCCAGGCTAGCCAACCTCAGACTCCGTGATTTCTCCCGCCTCGGGCCTCCTGAATCCTGAAATTTACAGACTTGGGCCACCAAGCCAGGATGGTTATTTGTTTGTTTGCTTGCTTGCTCGCTCCCTCTTTTCTTTAGTAAACATAGAATAAAAACCCAGTGATTTCTTCCATTTGCCTTATAAATCAGTCATTATCCACCAACCTCTGCCAAGAGCCTGGACTGTTTCTCCGTGTAAATCCGACAGTTATACAAGGTCAGTCATTTACACCACTGCTAACTGGTTCCACCACATCTGTAATCCACTTTTCATGAGCATGGACTTTGGAATCTTGTATTGTTGGCTCACTGCTTGACTGGATAAATCACAGGCTTCCTTTCCCTGAGACGTCTCTCATCTTACAGATGTCCTGTAAAATGGGAATAATAACAGTATTCGACCTCTTAAAGTTGTTTTGAAGATTGGATGAGATGTATGTAAAGCTCTAAGCACATTGCCTATAATGTAGCAAAGTATCTGGTGTTAGCCTTTAAGTTTTTATTATAGGTTGGAGAGACTATAATAATCTCATCTATTCATACAATGCTTTACATTTTCCGAAGTTCTTTCAGGTGTCTTATGTCACAACACTCTCAAACCGAGATAGGTATATTATCTCCAGTTTCATTTGGGGGAGGAAACTAAGATAATGAGGCATTTGCCCGAACATTCAGTTATTAGTGGAGGTACACTTTTTGTTGTTGTTTTGTTTTTTCGAGACAGTGTCTTACTGTCCTGACTGTCCTGGAACTCACAACATAGAACAGGCTGGCCACAAACAGCGATCCACCTGCCTCTGCTTCTGGAGTGCTGGGTTTAAAGGCCCGCGCCACTATGAGGCTTATAGAGGTAGGCTTTTTGATGGTTAGCGTTGTTTGTCAATTTGACTGGATTAGTAAACACTGTGGACACCAATGAGGCACATTTTTGGGTGTGTCTATGAAAGGATTTAAGAAAAATGTAACTGAAGAGGGAAAATTCACCCTGAATGTGGGCAGCACCATTCCAGAGGCTGGGGTCCTAGACTGAGTCAGAAGAGGAAAAGGAAAAACCCACTTAAGCACCAGCATTCCACTCTGTCTGCTTCCTGATCTGGCCAGATGTGGGCAAGGTTTCAACACCATCGCTGCTAGCAGTTTCCACTGCCATGCCTCCTTCTCTGTGCTGATGGACTCTGTCTCCTCAACCATGTGTCAAAATAAAAACCCCTTTCAGTGGCTTTTTCTCAAGTGTTTGATTACGGCAATGAGAAACTAAAACAGATTCAAACCATAGTTATGGCAACTGTCACTCCCATTTTACAGGCACTGCTTTTCTTTCTTTCCTTCTTCGTTTCTTTTTTGAGATTTATGTGTATGAATGTTGTACCTGTGTGTATATATGGAGGCCACATTCATGCTTGGTGCCAACAGAGGTCAGAAGACTTTTCAAGTCTCCAAGAAATGGAATTAAAGATGGTTGAGAGTGCCGGGCGGCGGCGGTGCACGCCTTTAATCCCAGCACTGGGAGGCAGAACCAGGTGGATCTCTGTGAGTTCGAGGCCAGCCTGGGCTACAGAGTGAGTTCTAGGAAAGGCGCAAAGCTACACAGAGAAACCCTGTCTCGAAAAACCAAAAAAAAAAAAAAAAAAAAAGATGGTTGAGAGCAGCCATGTGGGTGCTGGGAATCAAATTAGGACCTCTGCAAGAGCAACAAGTGCCTGTAACCCATCCCATGAGCCATGTCTCCTGCCACCATACTGTTTTGCTGTTGTTACTCTTTGGTTTTTGGGGTTTTTTTGTTTGTTTGTTTTTGGTGGTAGTGGTGGGACTTCATTTTGTAACAGCTCAGGCTGTCCTAGAACTAGCTCTGTAGACCAGGCTGGCCTCGAACTCACAGAGATACACCTGCCTCTGCTTCCTGAGTGCACCACTATCACATAGTTTAAGTGTATGATCATTTTGCCTGCATGTACGTGTATCACGTGCATGCCTGATCCCTTCCTAGGTCAGAAGATGTCTTATCTCCTGGAACTGGAGTTACTAATGATTGGGAACCACATTTCTCATTGTCTTTCCAGCTCTCTGTTTGGTTTTTTGGGTTTTTTTGTTCGTTTTGTTTTGTTTGATTTTTGTTTTTTCAAGACTGGGTTTCACTGTGCTGTGTAGCCTTGGCTGTCCTGGATCTCACTCTGTAGACCAGGCTGGCCTCGAACTCAGAGATATGACCGTCTTAAAGCCAGTAAATACTTTCCTTATTCTACCCCATCTGATGAATTTAGACTGAGAGCATGGGGCGGCTTTCTGGTTTACCTTTCTCTTGCTGGTCCTATCTAGCACTCGGTTTTCAGGCAGGTGAGTTGTTACTTCTCTCAGTTTTCTTTGGGGGATTTTCTTTAGTTATTTTGTTCATTCACCATGCAGACATAGCTTTTCTTTTTTTTTTTTTTAATTGTTCTTTATTTTTTATTTTTATGTGTATTTTGCCATGGATGTTGGGGTCTCCTGGAACTGAAATTACAGACAGTTGTGAGCTGCCATGTGGGTGCTGGGAATTGAACCACTGAGCCATCTCTCCAGCCCCAGACATTAGCTTTTCTTTTCTTTTCTTTTTTCTCTCTTTCTTTCCTTCTTTCTTTTTTTCTCTTCCTCTCTCTATTTATTTATTTTGGATTTTTGAGACAGGGTTTCTCTGTGTAGTTTTGGGGCCTCTGGATCTCGCTCTGTAGACCAGACTGGCCTTGAGCTCACAGAGATCCGCCTGGCTCTGCCTCCTGAGTGCTGGGACTAAAGGCGTGCGCCACCGCCACCTGACGTTAGCTTTTCAATGAGCTATCAGGCATAGGCTGATCCCTTACCATTCTTCAGAATTTTAGCACTAGACTTCCATTAGCAAACTTCTAGCCTCCCGAAGGAGCACATCCACTTTCTTTGGAACTCATTCTCCTGAGTCTTCTTTGCCTCCACACACTCCCTCAAGGCAATGTCTCCCAGTTACCTGAAGATCATCTTTATTTGGATATTGTATAACCATCTCAAGCTGAATTTAGGAAGAGCCCTCTCCTGCCTTTTGGAGTGCTCTCCGCCGTTTCTTTTTTCTTTTTTCTTTTTTTTTTTTTTTTTTTTTTGGCTTTTCGAGACAGGGTTTCTCTGTGTAGCTTTGCGCCTCTCCTGGAACTCGCTTTGGAGACCAGGCTGGCCTCGAACTCACAGAGATCCGCCTGGCTCTGCCTCCCAAGTGCTGGGATTAAAGGCGTGCGCCACCACCGCCCGGCTCTCCGCCGTTTCTTAAGTACAGAAAAAGGATAGAGCCTATAAAGCATGTGTGCTTCCCCACTCTCTCTTCTCATTTCCAGTTCACTAGGCACTCCTGCCATCTCTACCCCACCCCCAAATCATTCTGTCCTGTGTCCTAGTCCTGCTCCTCTGCAGCTAAATCTTCGATCGTTTTGTTCCTTTGTTGATTTAAATTTTTGAGTATCATTTTTGCTTCCAGCTTTGAATCCACACCCTAAGGACTTTTCCTTTTTTTTTTTTTTCTCAAGACTGGATCCTCAAATTCACCCTCCATTTGTCTTTCCCCTTTCCTTCCTTTGAGTTATCATGTTGTGTGTGATGATGATGTACGGGGTGGCAGTGTGCCACAACGGGCACGTAGAAGCCAGAGGACAACTTTTCATATTGACTCTGTCCTCTTTTACATAGATCCTGTCTGGAGATTGAACTCCGTTTCCAGCCAGGCTTTTACAGCAAGTGCATTTACCTGCTGAGCCTCTCCACAGCTCCTGTATTTCCTTCTATTTCTGTTGCCCAGACAAAATTCCCCCTTCCCCTCTCCACATTTCTGGGGTTTTGTTGTTGTTTGTTTGTTTTGAGAGCCCTCAATGTCTGATCCTCCCATCTCTACCTCTAGAGTGTTGGGGTAACAGGCATGCACCATCATGGCCAGCTTATCTGGTTGAGACAAGGTCTCACACTCTAGCTAGCCCAGACTGGTCTGAAACTCACTGCGTAGTTCAAGATGGCCTCTTCCTAGAATCCTCTCACCTCATCTGCTTGAATGCTGGTAACCAGCACGCCAGATTTCTTCTCTTTCTTTAGCCAGCTCTTCTCATTTGGGGGCCTCTAGTGCTACCTTCATGATACGCACGTTGTGTTTTCAGAATTTACCTAAACCCCAGACTTGCTCCTCACTGAATATTCAGAATTTCCCTTTCTTCTTACCCAACTAGCAGCATCTCTCATTACCCCTTGTTCTCCCTTCCTTAATCCTCACCCCTCCCATGTGAGAAGAGAGATGGGATACTACTCTTTAGAAGTCTGTGGTTTGCAGTTTTCACATTCTGAAAGTTAGCCTCTGATTTAAAAAAAAACAAAACATAAACAGGGAGTTTTGTCTTGTGGTGGGGGCATGCCCTGGGTCCACGTTTTAGTGACAGACACAGTACTGTACTCCATGGGAAGTGTTGTAAGTCAGATGAATTTTAACTGGAAGTTGATTGAAAAAAAAAAAAAAAAAAGCAAGGGAAAATGTAATCGCTCCACAAGGCTAACATTCGGCACTATGCCTCTTGAAACATCAAAAGTGTAATAGTAAATATTCTCTGGGTTTGGGGTTATAAATTGAGAATATCTTTTTTTTGTTTGTATTGGTTTAGGGTTTCTCTTTATTTATTTCTGATCTTACCATGAAGCACAGGCTGTCTGTAATTTGCAGTCCTTCTGCCTGCCTCATGGCCCCATGTAGAGAATGCTGTTGTGAAATAACACTAACACATAACAAAACTCCTCAATTTAAATGCTAACTTAAAAAGTTAACCGAGAGAGAGAGAGAGAGAGAGAGAGAGAGAGAGAGAGACAGAGAGAGAGACAGAGAGAGAGACAGAGAGAGAGACAGAGAGGACAAAAGAAAAGTGCATTACTCTTTACTTAGTGCCTATTGTGAGTTAGGCACTCCTTTGGAAATTTACATGCTACCTCACACAGTCGCTTCTCCAGGAGGTAAATATTATTAGCTTCACTGAGCAGAAGAGGAACTGTATGGCGCAGAAGGATTAGTCATTTGCCCGTGGTTCCTGGTGAATAATCGGCAGAGCTAAGATTTCAACTCAGGAGTCTTTGAGATCAAAGGCAGACGCTTGGCCATTGTCTGAAGATGTAAGCAAGCCACTGTTTTGTAAGTCTCTTCTACATGCAGGACTTTGCACTAGATAAGGCAGTCTTGTGGTGCAGGGAGGTTTCCCCTGAGGATCTGCCTCAGAAACTCTACAGCCCAATTGAGAACCTCATGTCCTATAGGTGTCTCCATTCGCAGCACAAATATTTTGGGGGCAGTAGTTGATAAATGATTCCTGGGTGCAAGATGTCGTATTTGACCTATGGCTTCTTTGGGGGTGGGGGTGGGGCATTAAACTGAGATGGTAAAGCTTCCAAGTGCTCATCAGTACTGCACACATTCGAGAGCCCAGATTGTCCTCCTTCACCATGCATCAGAGCTGATGTCAGAGTTGAAGTGGAAAAATGTATCCTGTTGAGTGTGTGTGTGTGTGTGTGTGTGTGTGTGTGTGTGTGTGTACTTCCTGGCTCTCTCTATATCCATCTCTCACTTCCCCAGCCTTCCTCCCTCCTTTCTCCAGCCCTGCCATCCTCACCCTATCCCAGCCCTTCCCTCAGGTTCTGTTTCCTTGGTCACATCGCCTTGCTCCTTAACAACTTATCTCTCCTTTTGCCTACCACCAGCATCAATACCCCAAAGCCAGCCATCCCTCTGCCTCCACCCCCTAACATCACTCCTCTAGCCGGGTCCCTTGATGCCTGCCCCCTCCCTCCCTCCTAACCCGCCTCCTGTGTCTCCCAGCCCTGCTCTGACGTGGGAGGTGAGGGGGGTGGGGGGTTGGATGACTCACAGTGTTATGATGCAGTTCCACAACACACAGCCACATTTACCCACAGACCGAGGTACAGAACAAGAGGCAACCTCTGGCCCCCAGCAGCTGTCCAGCCTGCAGTCCCAGTCCTCAAACCCCCAGCTACCCTCCCTCAATCCCATCCCCTTCCCAATTGAAGGAGCGGAAAGAGAAGAGAGAAGAGTGAGCAGAGAGATTGAGAGAGATAGACGGAGATCTCTGGAGCAGACCTCAAGGTGAGGGGGCAGCCCTTCTCCAAATCAATTTTTCCCCTTTGCAAGTCTCCTTCCTGCTGCGTGTTGCTTTCTCCCCTTTGCAAAAGCATTATTCATCCACCCTTTGTCCTCCCTTCCCCCTCCCTGGTGCCTCCGCTCCTCTCTCTCTCTCTCTCTCTCTCTCAGCTCCTCCATCCTTCCCCAAGCTCTGACGATTCTCTCGCACTTATTTCCCAGCAACTTTGGCTCCAGCATCAGACATTACTGTTTATTGTTTTTGCTGCTGGTGCAGACCCCCAAAGCCCGCCCTGGGAGCTGGCTGCTCCGCTAATTATTCGGACCATACCATACTGAAAATGCTGGCCCAGGGGGAGGTAAAACCTCCAAGCAATTGAATCTATCCATTGTGAGCACAAGTCCCCCTCCCCTTTTGGATTCCCTGAGAGGCACTGGACCCGCACCTGGTTCCACCAGCCTCTACCTCATCGCTGCTGCTGTCAGTTGCCAGTCTTCCCAGTTGCAAGCCCTTCTGCTCCCCCCAACCTCCTACAGTCCAGCCCCAGCTCAGCATCAGGGAATCGTCCTCTTCTTCCCAGCACTCACCTTTGTTTTTGTTTGGTTGGTTTTTTTCTGCCCCCTGGTCATTTGCCTGATTTGCTTCACCCCATGACAAGGGATGGCAGAAGAAATGACCCCCCTCTCCTTTTTATGATCTTATGATTTTTTTTTTTGTGGCCTTCTTTGAAGCTTCTCCTCTGCTGGACAGAGAAGCAGGGGACAGGGAGGGAGGCGTGACAATGACGGAGGATAGGGCTGGGGAAGGAGCCCAAGATAGAGGGAGGAGGCAAGCCTGGCATCTGCTAGTCCCGTGAAATAGGTGTTTCAAGGTGGAACCTTGAGGAGAACTCGAAGGCAAAGTTGAAGGCTGATCAAGTAGTGATGCTGAACTGTAGCAAGAAGGCCAGAACACAATGTCACCCTGAATTTGGCCCAAGGTGTCTTCCTGGGACTCAGCCAACGGCTGAGAACCAGAAACTAAAGATGGTCTCACTCAGGGGGATTTGTGGAAAGACTGCATGGCAGCCCTTGGAGAGAGCAGAACAGTCGGGGTGCTTATGGCCACCACAGAGGACAGGAGGACAGCCTGTTTGTCCTGGCAAGTGGAGCCACACTGCCTTCTCTGCTTGGTGGTCTAGCCTCACTACAGCATTTATTAGCAGGGCAGCTCTGAAGGAGACCCAGGCTACCCCACCCACAGCTGCAGGATACTGGCACCTCACAGCTTATCAGAGTCAACAGAAGATGACTCTCCCTCTTATCCTCTGCCTGCAGCTCCCTCAGCCACACTGGGACTGGAGTGTGAGCAAATATCAGTGTCTCAAGATTCTTAACCAGAGCCCTGCAATTATTTCATTTGCTGCTGCCCAGTCACTGGTGTTTGCCCTGGCTCCTGGGAGAAGAAACATTTTCTGCCTTGTGCCCCAAAGCTCAGCTCTTCAAACTAAGGAGTCCCCTTCTTCCGTTGTTTCCTGTTAATGTTGCTCTCACACTATACCGCACAGCCCGGCGTAGCCCAGGAGTCTGGCTTCTGAGATGCCGCCCATTTTCCAGCTGTCAGACTTGACAGCTTGCTGGAGGAAAGATAATTTTTTTCTCCTAGGGCTAGGTGCCTATCTTTAACTTAGAGCTAAGGTAACAGTAAGTAAACAGACCTGAGGACCAGAGGTTTAGGACGACAGCAAGTGCTCCCTCTAGCCTGGGATATGTAGCCCAGGATATAGGATTGCGAACAGCCACATGTAAAATCTGAGGTACTGAAGAAGCTACCAAGTTCTGTGGAGTTCCAGGGCTCAGGACTCAACCCCAGGAGAGGGCTGGAACGGGGTGAGTGGCGCTGCCTGTTCCTCTTTCCTTCCTTCCCAAAATGTGGACCAACTGTATTGCAAACAGAGGCCCTGAGACAGAAAACAAAATAAAACCACCACCACCTAAAACGAACTCAGGGAGACTTCACTTTTAAAGGGTTCTGAGCTCATATTAGGGGACAGTTTCTCACAGAACTGGACACGGGGTGAGTCTCCGCAGGTGAGGTTGCTCCTAAGGCTGTGTCTGTACCAGCAGGCTGCTCTCAGTGGAAAATGCTGGAGGCTGCTACTGCCTCTGGAGAGAAAGAGGTACCAACTCCCTGGCCATGGCACAAGACGCCTGGAACTGCTGCCAGAACAGAATGGGACTCTAGGGGACAGAAAGTGCAACGGGAAGCTGAGGGCTGGTGGTGATGGGGAAAAAGGGAGGGTACAGGTGAGCTGAGCCGCATCTTCTTCAGCCACCCAGGAGCGGCTCCTCATGAGGTCACATCTCCCCTGATGTACCTTCCTTTCTTACCAGGTGATTTCCATTTCTATCTGGTTCTCGTCTGGGGGGGCCCTGGCCGGGCAGCCCCCCCACACTTCTACTGTCCTGAAACACGGCTCTAGCCAATCTGCTCCGCTGCTTTACCTGCGACCGTCTCTGTGGGGGCTGCACGGCACCAGCCCCTCCAGCCCGCCAGGGCATCGTCCTCCAGCCCGTCATGCCCAGCTGTGACCCAGGCCCGGCCCCTGCCTGTCTCCCCACCAAGACTTTCCGCAGCTACCTGCCCCGCTGCCACCGCACGTACAGTTGTGTCCATTGTCGAGCACACTTGGCCAAACACGATGAGCTTATTTCCAAGGTAACGGTGAAGTGAGGGCCTGCCACTTCCCCCAGGCTTTCACTCCGAAGGCGATGGGAGGATCTGAGGTCTCGCGCCACTCCAGCTGGGATTTAGGCAATGGGGCTGAGACATACCCAGTGGTCACTGTCTGTCCTGTTTCCACAGTCCTTCCAAGGGAGCCATGGCCGGGCCTACCTGTTTAACTCCGTGTGAGTCTACCTCTTTCTTTGTGTGTGTTTGTGTGTGTGTATGTGCTTGTGCTCCAACGGCTTTGGCTTTCCTCTTTGCAAAATGGGGGTAAGCCTTCAAAAGGATCTGGTACCTCTGGTCTGACCTTCCCCTTGACAAGAGGGTTCAGAAAAGCAATCTAAGTTATGTGGGGGTAAAAGAAGGCTCAAGCATTGACCCTAAAGGGGTGGACTGCTGAAGTGGATGCTTCTAGTTCTCCCCAGGCAAAAATCCCTTGGTAGGTTGGGGGAATGGACTGACAGAGCAACCCTACTGTGTGCTGGGTCCTTGTTTTCTGAGACAGGGTCAACGTGGGTTGTGGGCCAGCTGAACAGCGCCTCCTGCTCACAGGACTCCACTCGGTAGCTGACATTTTCTGTGAAAGCTGCAAGACCACACTGGGCTGGAAATATGTAAGTATTTGAAGAGGGCCACTTCCTAGACAGTCCCCACAGCTCTCCAAACCCAGTGTCCACACACCAGGCTTTTGCATGGTCCATAGAGGGAGCTCGGAGCTGGGTAGAGGAGCCTGGATGGGGAGACACTTTTCGACATGGTCCCTACTTTACTCCCCCACCAGGAACAAGCTTTTGAGACCAGCCAGAAATACAAAGAAGGGAAGTACATCATTGAGATGTCACACATGGTGAAAGACAACGGCTGGGACTGAGGGGCTCAGCAGGCTGTGACCCTCCTCCGCATGCCCCATCTTCCTCACACCAGTCCCCTGGCCCCGTGAGCAGCCCACACCAGCATGAGTACTGCCCACCCCTGGGGAAACCTGGCTCCAAATGACCACCGCCTCCCTTCCCCCAGCACAGCAGCACCAGGTCCCTCTGAAACAGGAGCCTGCGATACCCCAGGGTGGTGAAGGCTCAGGAGTGGGGAGCCGTCAGGGAAATACGAAACTGGGGAGAGGAGATGAATGTGGCACTGGAAAGTGACGGCAGGGTGTGAACTCAGGTAGTTACCAAACTTTGAGTGAACTGGACAAACACTGGCATGGGACTAGACCACAGAGTAGCAAAGACTTTGGCTGGTCTCAGATATTATCAGGGCCCCAGAGTCTGAGGGTAGTTTACCCAACCCCATTCTTGGTTAAAAAAAGGACTAGGGATGGGGCCATTAGAAGTAAAAACACAAACCCTAGACCCTGGGAAATCAGTTACAGGGGTTCCCATTTCACTCCACTGTTTACCTTGGCACTAAAGAGGCACTTTTAAGTATCTAATCTTTGCCATTGGGTGGGGTGGGGAAAGCTGTTCCAAGAACAGCCCCCACTCCCAGCTGGCTGTTGCCAGAGGGCAGTCTTTACGGGCATTCCCCAAGGCTCAGCCACTGCTCCCTGGGACCAAGTCCCTTGGAGGTGGTGGATCATCGGCGCTGCGGGACCAGTCTTTCCAGTGACTGCCACCAGCGAATGAAACTTTTGTATGATACATAAAGTGTTTGGGTCTATTTTTAATAAAAAGGGGAAAAGCAACGGTGGGGTGCTGTCCTGGTCTTCCTTCCATAGGTGTGGACCTTGTACTGTCCCCAGTATGCACAGCAGCAAGGCCCCCTTTTTTTTAACCAGTAGGAGGCAGCAGTTGCTTTGTGGCAAGATTCTCCACCTGTTTCACAAGCTGTAAGCATCCAAGTGAATCATGAGGCATGGGTTTTGATGAGCTTGTCCATGGGGAGCATCTAATGTTTTCAGTCCCCAGGACTTCTCCCCAATGAGGCTACTTTTTATCTGGATTCGGGATAAGCAGTGAGTGCAAACTTATTCCACAAGTTGATAGTTTCTTGTGTCCCCTCGTTTTTTTTTTTTTTTTTTTGGCCTGGTCCTAGAATGTTTTAATCAACTCATGGATACCCTTGAGGCTAAAATGAAAATTTATGGGGTGAGATGCTGCTGGCAGTTGATCCGTAGTGGGATACAGCTCAAAGCTCTAGTATCAACACCAAAGTGTGATGTAAGAAACATGGTTGGGGTGCACTGACATGAAATTTCGATTTGGAGCAGCCCAGCCCCTACAGGGGAGACTGTATGTATGGTAAAAATCTATTAAGTTACATAATTATTTCCAGAGCAACTCATGGACATTGCAAATATTTATAGGTACTTATTACTTGCCAGGCATTGTGTTGAACTCCAGGGATGCATGGCGAGCAAGCCAGCCATGGCCTGACTTCTTGGAGCTCTCAGTCCAGTGGCCAGAAGGAAGCTAGAGGAATTTCGCCTAGATCTGAAGAGTCAGGGATGGCTTCACAGAAGAGACCATGATGGAAAGATGGGCAGGCCAAAGGGCAAGAGAGATTCAGACAGAACTGTGTGATGTGGCACAGACTTGGCTAATTTGAGGAAATTGTGTTTTTCTGTGGCTAGGAGTGCAAGAGGATGAGACATAAGAGATTAAAATGGGAGAAAGAAGAGCTGTACACTTTATAACAGTGGTTCTCGACCTTCCTAATGCTGCAATCCTTTAATGCAGTTCTGAATGTTGTGGCGACACCCCCAACCATAAAATTATTCTTGTTGCTACTGCATAACTGTAATTTTGCTACTGTTATGAATCATGGTAATGTAAGTATTTTTTGGAGTTAAGAGGTTTGCCAAGGGGATCAAGATCCACAGGCTGATCAAGGACAGCATGGAAGCATGGACAAACTACTGTACCTCCTAAACATTCTTCTTCTTTTTTTTTTTTTTTTGGTTTTTCGAGACAGGATTTCTCTGTATAGCTCTGCGCCTTTCCTGGAACTCACTTGGTAGCCCAGGCTGGCCTCAAACTCACAGAGATCCGCCTGGCTGCCTCCTGAGTGCTGGGATTAAAGGCGTGGGCCACCACCGCCCGGCTAAACATTCTTATATAGTCTAGGCTGGCCTTTTAACTTGCTATGTGACTCTGAAAGTCAATCCTCCTGCCTCCACCTTCCAAATGCTGGGATTACAAGCATGCTTTACCATATCTGGCTTTATGTTATGTTGTCCAGGGCTTCCTGCATGCTGTTATCTACTGAGCCACAGCCCCATCCCAAAACTTAAAAAGAGTAGGCTGACATTGTCAAATAGCTGTTTTGTGCCAGGCATGAAGCTTTTGTTTGGGGGAGGGGCCCACAGGCAAATGTTCTATGTAGCTCTAGTTTGCCTGGAACTATATATCTATATCTATCTATCTAAGATAGATAGATATAGATAGATGTGCTAGTCTCCAGCTCACTTGATTTTACCTGTCTCCCAAGTGCTGGGATTAAAGATATGTCCAGGGAAGCTCGGATAACTTTAATAGCTTGAAGTAATGGATGTGGAGTTATCTATACTATCTCAAATACTGTTAACAGAATGGAGACTGTGGGCAGGACAAAGAATTGGCAGGCCCAGAAGTGCAAAGTCAGAAACGTCCGAGAGCTGGGGCCAAAGAAAGAGCGTCTGACCCACTGTTCAGTTTCATTGATACCAATTATCTTCTTTCCTTAAACTCTAGTAGAGACTCAGTTCCATCTCCTGGTCTCACTTCCCGCACCAGAGCAAGGTCAAAACCGCTCAAGGAGTCCTGTGAAGGACAGAAAAGTAAATGGCGTGGCTGTGGAGCATGAGAAGACTCTGGGCCTGGCTTAAGAGATTAATCTTTTAAGACCATAAGTAATGCTGCCCAAATCTTGGGTGCCCAGGCAGGTCTGCCCTCAAGAGTCATCTCTATCAAGTGATGTGATGGGGAGGTCACGCTGAAAACTTCATGGAGGGACCTCCTTCCCCCACATAACAAGAGGCAGAGGACACTAGGGATACCGAAGCCTCTTTGTCTAGGCAACTGTCCTTTCCTGTGTACCTCCTTATTCCCAAGTCTTCTGTGGGCCTCATAAAATTTCTCCCACACCTCACCAACTGTCCACACCAAGCTTCGTCTGAAAACTCAGACCTTCTTCATTTAATGAGCTGCCCCTAGGCTTATCCTTAAACACTGAAGACTTCAGAGGACATCCTCCCATAACCAGCAGGTGGCATTAAAACCTTTCACCCCCTCAGTTCAAATCTCTCCTGACAAAAGATGGGTACTTTCCTACTGGGCTCAGGACAGAGTTCTAACTTATGAGCTCAACAGCCTCAGCCAAACAGCTTATACTTTTCTACCCGAGGGGCCCCCCCACCCCGTTCTTTTCATCTGAGAAATGGGGATGTTGCTTGCCAATTAGTAACAGGCTTATGGCGATGTATGCCATGATGTCTAGCCTGTGAACTGCACAAGTAAATGGCTCCATGGATCCAAATTTTCACCAGGGTAGCTGACTGGTGCCCAGACGGGAGGAAAACCAGTGATGCTGAGGAGGATGCCGGCACTGGGTAGCACTACAAGGCCGATGCCCTTTTAACATTGCACTGCTCGTTATAGGTGAAGACAGTAGCACAATGTGAAAAGAGCTCCGGCCAGCAGCAAAGGCATGCCGGCCCTGCCTCCTCACCCTCTCCCAGTCCCTGGCCCACTCAGCTCACAGCCTTCCTCTCTTTCTCATTTCCTTACCAGCAAAGACCCTTTTTCCTTGAGGCGTGTTGGTGCAGATCCATACGAAGCAGCTGAGGGATTCCCAGCATTTGAAACTTACTCCTCAAAAGAAATAACTGTTTTGTTTTTTTTAAATAGTCCGAGCGATAATAGCATGAGGGTGCATGTCTGCCTGCAACCTTTCAGAGAGAGCCTTGCCACCCAGAAGCACAGAACCTTCTACTCGTCTCCAGTCTAAAGTTAACCTCTTCATTTTTAATAAAGAAGCCTTGGAGGTCTCAAAGTGATGTCTCAGGTGGTGGAACTCCAGGACCAGTGTAATGGGCGCTTAGGCAGAAAAGAAGCTCCCAGTTCCTTTTCTGAGGTCTTCAAAGCAATCTATGAATGTGGTGTTAAGCAAAATGGTCAGAGATTTGGCTCTTGAGTTAAGGATAAACTTTCATCAATAGCGGGATTACAAGCAAAGTTTCCTGTCCACCCCCAAGTTTAGTATTGGAGTCTTCACACTCATTTTCATACCTCTAGACCATCATCCTCAATCCCAGGACTATGGAGATTGATGAAAACTCAAAGCCAGGTGCACTTGGAGACGCAAAGACTTGCAGAGCCTTGCAGAGCTCTAGAGTCACAAGCCAGCTACAGTTTTGACCAAAGGGACAGGGCCTGAGAGGAGACTCCTCCCTGTGGAGATCCATTTAGACCATGGGAGCAGCCTCAAGGGAGACACCCCCCCCCCCTTTCCACTGCAACAAGCAGGAAAAATGGAGGACTGAATTCCATTCGGGAGCTCTTCCTCTGGGCTTCCCCCTCCAGCCTCCTCCCACCCCCTCAGGAAGCAGGAGAGGTTCTTTCCCGCCTTCCCAGGCAGAGTTTGTTCTTGTAATCTGCAAACACGGGGCCCTGCCCCAGTTTGCACAGTTCTAATGGACGGAAACCAAGGCCCCGCTTGGGTCAGTCGCCAGGCCTCTCTGCTCCTGGAGTTGGGCAAGCCAGTTGGGAACTGGACCAGACCAACATGGGGCAAAGGGACAAAGACGAGACTACCCAGTCAGCTTCACAGTAGCCAAAGAAGGTTCTTCCTCAAGGAGTCCCCAGATCTTTCCTTAAGGAGTGAAGGGAGAGGCAGCTGGACACTGAGTCCCTTGGAGCTCACGTGTCCATCTCATTCCTGAGAGGGGAGACCAGCAATTCAACAGCCAGCAGGACCCCTCCCCCACCTTGGGCCTAGGAGCCATCCCCCCAGCTCCTTCCAGAAGCGGGTGTAGAAACAGAGGAGGAAATGGGGGAGGGGAGGCCCTGGCTCAAGTTCTCTCCACTCCCCCTCCTCATTGGCCACCATCTTCCGGCCCCTGCCCGCCAGAGCAGCAGGGATGGGGCCCAGCCTGTGGAAAGGAGAGAAAGGGCAGGTGGGGGGTTAGCTGGAGCAGCAGGGGCAAGGGGCTGGCTCCAACTGTCTCCTCCTGCAATCCCCCCACCTCCTCCCGCAACCATGGCGACGGGAGGAGGAGACCAGGAGGGTCCTGAAAGCCCTGTTCTGTGAATGGGATGAGAGGGGCAGCTGGGAAGTGTGGGGTGAGGGGCGATTTCCCTCGACACCCAACTGTGCCCCTGCCACACCTCGAGGCTGGACCACACGCGCTCGCACGCACACGCAAACTCTCAGCCATACTTGCTACACAACTCACCCCAGTCGACACTCACCCCAACTGGAGGGTGGGGGCACAGCTCCCCACGTCCTCGCACCCCACCGCTAGCTACTAGCTAAAGCCAGCCTCACACCCCTACAGCAAGTGGGGCTCACCTCACAAGTTCTAGAGGTGATGAATTCCCTGCAATGCTCTAGCTGCTCTCGGAACACACCCGCCAAGTCCCCCGTGTCCCCACACCCTCCCAAGCCCAGGGACAGGCAGATGGCTCAGCCTTTAGAGCCCCCCATCCCTTCCCACCACGCCCCCCATTGGAAAATGACAGTAAAGCCACCTCGGAAAGGCACGCTTGGTGCTTCCCAGATAGTGTTTCGAAAGGAAAAATAGAGAAGATGCCTACGAGTGGAGAATGAGGAGGGGAGGAAAAAGCAGAGGAGAGAAAAAGGCCGGAGCACCCCCTCCCCTCACCGAGAGAAGAAAACCGAAAAGCGCCGAGCTCCCAATACCTACACATCGCTCTTCTTGGGTTCCTCTGCCCGCCACCTCCTTCTTCCCGGGCTCTTTCTCTGCCTTTCCCTCCCTTTTGGCTCCCCTTCCTGGCCTCGCTCCCCTTCTCACGCCCTCTCGTACCCCGCCAGCCTCTCTCTGTCCCCGCCGGGCTCGAATCCCCGTCTGCTGCCCCTCCACCCGCCGGCCGGGACCGAGGCTCCGGGATGGGCTGGCCGCGGCGCTCCGCTGCTCTAGAGATCTGGCTCTTCCCCCCGCGCCCCCTTTCTCCTTCCACACTCCCTGCCGTCCATCTTGAATACTTGGGATTCTTGAATGGAGTGAGCAGGATCCGCTCCCCCAGGCTCTCATTGGCTGTGGGTTAACCCTTTTGAAACGAGATCCTCCCTCCCATTGGCTGCCAGGCTCCCCTCTTCTCCCCCAACCCCCATCCTCCCCGCCTCTCGACAGCCCTCGAGGTCAGGGCGCTCCCGGGCGCCCCCTCCCCTGGCCTCTCGCCTCCTGTTCCCTTTTCCTACCCCATTCCAGGATGCCCTTCTCCCAGCTTTTTTTCCATCACACACTGACGGACACACACACACACACACACACACACACACACACACACACACACACACACACACACAACTGCAGGCGTGCAGGTGAAGGCAAAACCAATTCCCGCCAAATGCAACTCCCGGATGGGCTGGCAGAAGCCCTGTTCCCAGATGCCCCTGGTGCTGGACTTGGAGACCTCTGAAAGATGCATTGGGTCAATTTCCTGCCTATCCTCAATGCCCCCTCTGACCAGAAGTACTTCCCTAGTGGGGCATTTTCTCCCCGTTTTAGCCTCACCCAAAGTAGTGCAGGAGCCTCCTGAATATATGCGCCCCCTGGGCTGGGCAGGAAGCTGGCAACTCCAGAAAGAAGAGGTGGGGCTGCTGAGAAGAGCTAATCCCGAGTGCCGCAGGGCAAGCCTGACCCGATCAGGAATGCGCAGCATCTGAAGCCCTGGTCAGTCACAAACATCTCTCTGAACCAGCCTTGCCCCCACCCCCACCCGTCCCCCACCGCCTCCTGCTACCGCCAGCACCACCAGCACCAGCACCACCACCACCAGTTAGGATCTTTGAGCTGGGGGATCCTAGAGTCTCAGGAGGAAGGAGGGAATAGGCGGATATATCAGGAAGCAGGATCGCTTGAATCTAGACCCATATTTTCCTGTAACAAGCATTCCTTCCCTGGGCCTCAGTCTCCGCATTTGTAAAAGAGTGATCCAGAACAGAGCTGCCATATGGAATTTTCTGGGTAAAAACGGAAATGGTTCTGTATGTGTGTCATCCAAGATGGTAGCCGCCCCGACACACTCAGCTGTTGAACTCTTGAAATCTGGCTAGAGTAGAGGAACTGGCTTTTAAATTTAGTTTAATATCATTTTAAATTTCATCGGCATATATTAATTGTAAAACGAGTCTCGTTATGACTCTTTGTTCTTTACGTTTGTGTGTATTTTTGTTTTGTTTTCTTCTGAGACAGCGTGTCACAACCACGGATTTGCTATAAAACTGAGGCTGGCCTTTCCTTTCATATAATGGCTACTTTCTTTGACTTTGTTGCTACTTTGTTTGTATACATCTAGAATCTTTGTCCTGATGAATAACAATATTCGTGTGTGTGTGTGTGTGTGTGTGTGTGTGTGTGTGTGTGTGTGTGTGTGTGTGTGATGTGGTGTGTGTGTGTTGTTTGGGGGATTTTTAAGACAAAGTCTTGCCATGTGGTCCAAATCCACCCCAAATTTTCGGCAGTCCTTTTGTCTCAGCCTTTCTAATGTGATTACACCCACCATGTGCCACCACACCAGGTTTTTTCCTCTTAGTAAAGAAATCCTTTTATTTTGTCAGAAGCTGTGCAGTTTTCCAGACCCACATCGCACATCACCAAGGGCATCAATGCCTAGGAAAAGAAGTTCAAAATCCTTGTCCAGAACTCATTCTATATAGAGTCCAGTCTTTTTTTTTTTTTAATGTTGTTGTCTAATATGAAATGTGTATGGGGGACATGCATGGTAGTCAGAAGACAACTAAGACTGGTTCTCTCCTTCCACCATGTAGGATCTTATTGCTTTTTTACAAGGCTAAAAACCTAGTTGTTACTGGGCATGGTTGAAACAAGCCTGTAATTTCAGCACTTAACAAAGTCCTGAAGATCAGAAGTTTAAGGCCATTCTTGGCTCCATAATGAGTTTGAGGCCAGCCTGAGCTATGTGACTAAGATATTGTTAGGAACAGAAACGGGGCATGTCACTTGAAGGTAAGGGCACAGGCAATATGGATGTTTGCTCATGAGTTAACATACACCAATAAAACCAGTACATCTCTTAGCACACACACAGCACACATACACATCGTTCAATTCATTCAATATGTGCTTTTTAACCAAGGCCATATGGGAGCTGGTGCAGAAGTTAACCACAGTGGGTGATGTTTAAGGATGATCAGTTGTGGGAAGATCTAACAGGTTCCTTCAACCAGCATGTGAAATCCCTGAGTTCCAGGGCATGCTAGAGCTACTAGAAAACAGGCAGAAGCTGAGCATGGTGGTGCATGCCTGCAATCCCAGTGCTTGAGAGGCTGAGGCTGGAGAACTGCCAAGAGTTTGAGACCAATCTGGGCTACATAGCAAGACTATTAAAGGAGGAGGAGGAGGAGGAGGAGGGGGAGGGGGAGGGGGAGGAGGAGGGAGAAGAGGGAGGGAAGGAAAGATGGAAAGAAATCAGCACTTACTTCCTGAATTAATGTTAGTGAAGGATCTCATGGCATCTCCTACCCTGAGGAGAAGCTGCTGAGGGAATGGAGGAATGACTGACTGCATTTATTCATTCTTGAGCTGATGCAGAAATAGCTGGCTGGGACTTATGGAGCAGTGGGGATATAGGATGCCAAGTATTCACATAGCTCTAAGTTAGAACCACTACATAGAGGCCTCTAACGTAGTCCAGAGGGAACTACACCGGACATTAGCGTAGAGGAGAGCTTCACCAGTCTGAATTTGTAGAATATTTATTCAATGTCTGCTCCTCAGGGGTTCTGCCAGGGTAATACGCTGTGTGTCAGAAGTCAAAGAGATACCTAGCAAATGGCTCTGTCTTCAACATCTTTTTACTCCCAGGTGAGATTGCTAGATGACTTCTTTGGTGGGAGACAGGTAGCTTCAGTGAAGGGAAGACTTGGCATGGAATTCAAGAGGGCTGCCTGGGAGTATCACCTTAGACTTGATGATCCACAGGACTTAGTCAGAGGACAGTGGTCAAGGAGGGCAAAGCACGCCAAGGAGAAGGATCAACATACGAGCTGAGAGGTAGGGATATGGTGGTGTGTGCTCTGACTGGAAATCACTCAAGAATGCAGAGCAGGAGCAGCAGAAAAGCAAGCCAGAAGCCGACTCTAGAGTACGTTTGCGTAGCCACTGCTCAGTCCCAAAGACACCATTTTCCTTGAAAGTTCTCTTACCCGTTCCCTTACCAAGCAACAGTGCCCATCTGTCCATCTAGCTGGCCTAGCGCCTCTCTCCTTAGCTCTCTGCTGCGTTTGTCTTGGTCTGAAAGTTCTCTGTTCAACAAGACTTCTCCCTGAAGACAGAGGAGACTCTCGTTCCCTATGAGAGGACTGGTTTTCTTTGCTCTGAATTCCCAGTGCCCAGGTATAATGTGCATGAAGGGATTCCTTTTCCATTTACAACCTTCCAAAGCCCTGCTTGACCCCATCCCTTCTCAGAAAAGAGACTGGCCCTGCTTGTTATGGGAGTATAAACAACAACGACAAAAAACAACGCACCCAGGAACTGTTGGACTCCTACCCATCCTACACCATCTCCACAGTCTTCTCTCCCATAGGAGTTTCAGAATACACCTGGCTGCAAGCTCTCTCTTCCTTTGCCCCCCTAATTCCCATCACCCTATAAGGATTTGGGCATCTCAAAACAACAATAACAAAAATCAAAACAAAACCTCTAAATGTGAGACAATAATATTATGTGTACCAGTCCTCTGCATTCTGGAAGCACTGGATCAGGAATGTTGGGATGAGAGTCACCTCCCCCGCTTAAATGTCAGTGGAGGTGACTTGTTAGCTGATATTACCATGGCTCCCGGACTCCGTGAAGGAGGCTTGTCAGTGAGAGCCTCTTCAGTTTCCCCTCCTCCCTCAATAAGGTGCCTTTTCATCTTCACAGTCCTGCTTCCCCCCTGTGCTTTTGTGCTTGGCCACTGACTGTATGGAAGGCTTTGGAATTATGGCCTCTAAATGTTGCTGACTCGCAGGTGTGCAGAGCAGAGAACTACACAGCAGCTACATCAAAAAGAACATATTCAAATAGACGGGAGAACTCTCGTTCTGAGGTACATTCCTTTCTCCGAGCTCTTGTTGCTATCCTTGCTTCAGCAATAGTGATTGTTCTCGTGCATCTATCTTCAACCTCTTTCCCTAAGCTAGGGGAAGGGTCAGCTGGGTAAGGTTCACACACCTACTCCTGCGTCTGCCTATCTTGGTGTACATAAAGTTCACTGGAACACAACTATACTCATTAGTTTATGTACTGCCCCTGGCTACTTTCTACAACCATGGCGTCACTGGGCTGAGTGATTACAGCAGAAAAAAATGGCTGGCAAAGGTCTAGCGTATTTACCACCTGGCACTTTACAGTAAAATGTCTGCCATCTACCTAGCTTTCGGGAAGTTTTAGACTTTGTTTATTTTAGAAAAAATGTACTAGAATGTAAGACAGGCAACTAAGAAGGACCTGGAAAGATGGCCATGCCTGTCATCTCAGCACTTAGGAGGCTGAGGCAGGACGATTGTTTGCCATGAGTTTGAGGCCAGCCTGGTCTACATAATGAGTTCCAGGACAGCCTGAACGACATCACAGTAATGCCCCATCTCAAACAACACAACAAAATATTGTGAGAAAGAATGAGAAAAGCTAAAGAAGAGGAGAAGAGGAAAGGAAGGGAATACAAGCAGGCAGCAGATGCCCAAGAATGCCAGAGGGAGGACACAGCACAGACTTTCCAGCTCAGCCTACAGGTATTATACTCAGGTCTTTTCTCAAGCCATCCCAAAACATTCTGTAGTACTGTCTTACTCTCTATCTCTCCTTTGTGTCCTGCTCATTTATTTCACTTCAAATTAATGAAGAATTTTTGCATGTGGTGTGACAGTCAGTCACATGTTTACAATGTATAAATGATCAAATCGGCATAATTA